ATTCCACAATAGTGTATACTCATACAAGGTTATTCAACTTTAATTCAACAGTCATTTATTTTATATGAAATAACTATTTTGGCTTAAAGAGTCTCAAATAAAATCGTTTTCAAAAATTAATTTACTAACAATATCAACAATGTCTCCAAGAAAAAACTATCCCTCCTGGCCAGATCCCAGACTTGGCATCCAACTTTTAAGCCGACCGACGACCCTTTAAATCAGAACTTCGTTCGAGTCCGATTGATAATAATAATAATAAGAGTAAGTTACACTTTGAAACATTTTATCACCAATCCTTATAAGGCAAAAAGAGGGATTTTTAGGTTTTTAAAATAGCAACATATGTCAAAATATTTAAAAATGTAGTAAAATATGTACCTAAAAGTTAAGGGAAAAAAAATCTCGAATGATTCATATTTTCAGAGAAAATGAGTGTCTTACGTTAGTTGGATCACTCTGTATATGTATAAAAAAATAAATTTAAAATACCTCTCAAAAAATATTTTTTACTTTAATATATTAAGTATAATTTTTGGTAATTTAATACAATGATGATTTTTATTCAATTATTTTATTTGAACCCTTTTTAGTGATATCACAAATATTATTCAATAGAAAAAAAATTACTGTAACATGAAATTCGAAAAGCCATTTATATTGTATGTTTTATAAAAGATAACAATATTGAAATACCGTCGTTAAACAAACGGCGGTTTCGTCACTCGGCTGTGTATAAAAGTCATTAAAGTCCGGAAAGTTTCTTATACATCATTATTCGAAGATTTATTGTTTTTACAAAGATAAAGGAAACTCTTGAGATTATTATATAACAATATATAGATTATAAATGGTCGAGTGGGCTTTATTATATAATATAATGATTATAACAAGAGTGAGGCAAAATTTAATTAAACACAGAGTAGAAACTAAAATAAATCGAAAAACGACAACGATAATTATTTATTGAAATGAAACTATAATTTTGTATTCGATAACGCCCGACTCTAAGTACTAAGCCGAGTCAAGTCGAAACAATTTGTTAGGGCCTAACTTTGAGTACTAATTGAAGCGATGAGTACCATGGCGGTTAATGATGTATTTGATTACTATTATTACTGGCCCATTTAGCATGGTCGATTCGTCTCGAACGAGTTTTTTAGTATGTATGGACAGAATAAACAGTTCAACCCTTTTCCGCGGCGTGAAGGCGTTAAGAGACAATATCGGTTGTATCAACAGCAGTGATGGAACTTGGGTTGTTCAAAGGGTTATACCCTACACAGTGTACTGGGTTTAGGACGGCCGGTCGAGGATAAGATAATCGCAGTGACGTTATTCAATACGTTAAAATGAACGATCGTTGTCGACTTTTGTCGAGTGCGGACTATATCAGCTATACTGTTTGCGTACGAATAAACCAATATCATATTGTCGTGACAATATAGTACATTGCACTCGTTTACACTGTTTAACAACGTTATATGACTGAGAGAGGAAAAAAGAGAGGAGGTTTTCGCGCGTGCAAGCACACGGTGCAAACTCGACGTCTGGCACGCGAATAGCGATCGCCTACACACGCTGTTAGAGTTTACCTAATAAAATAAAGCCAGCTGTATCTTGTCCTCCAAGTGACAAGTAAATTTCCTGCTCAGGAAATAAACCGTCAGACATAAATCCAACGCGTTTACCCGAACTGCGATGTTATTATGCCGCGCCGTGTGCTGTCGGGTCGGGTCCGTTTAATGTATGTGGGTCACACTAAATTATCAAGTCCAAAAGTCAAAACGTTAAACCGAGTTCGAAAAAAAAAAACCGTTTCTATTTCGATAAATCACGTGATATTTTAGCTCGGACGCAAAGCTGCTGAGATTGTCTTTAGTGTACTAAATAATTGTTATTATTGTAGGCCCGTGTTAAACAAAGTGCGAGTATGGCGATAGACGCGGTGGATTAAAATAAAGGACACTACCAGACCATTGTGGACCAAACATATATATGGATTTAAGCCACGTGAAAAATGTGTTACATTGTGTTATTTTATATTGAAGTATAAATACGATTTCTTCCTCAATAGGAGAACTCCAAACAAAATATTTTTTAAAAAAAACCTAGCCGTGAATGTTTTTGGAACTTTGAGTATGTTTTAAAACTTGTTTTGGTAACCGCATAACGGTTTCTATGTAAAGAATCAATCTGAAACAACTCCAAACAGAGATTCCTCGTCCCTAAAGCATGAGTGAGTAGGTTTGGAATTTCGTTTGGAAAATATAAGGTCGCTACTGTGCTCCTCTGGAAGAATCTTTATCAGAAACATGCAGGACAAACATTGAGGAATTTGTAATTCCTATAAAGAAAACCTTAGGAATATCACTAGAATTTCTAGCGCTAATTGTGCCGTCCTCTTAGCATTAGTGTGTACTGGTCGACGTTTTTAGAACTAGCTACCCGGTCTTATACTTTGTATACAAAGCATTGCATCTCTCCGATTTGACATTTCAGCTAAACTCGTTAATGGTTTAAATTGAACCGTTGTGCAATTAAGTAGATACTACTCTCCATAAATGTTTTAAATTACACAGTCTGCCTGGTGTCGTGGTACAGACAAAATTTTAAATTAATGTCAACTACCGTTCTGTAGTTAATGGCGTTTAATTTGCTTCCGGCTCATTCTGACCCGACGAGCATTTAAACGCAAAGCGTCTTCGTAAAGTATTTACATACTGTACAGCGAAATATCATAAACGAAACGTTGTCGAGTGGCCGTGTGTTGTTTTAATCAGTATTACCCTAACAACTAATGACGGGGTACTCGAGCTCTTCTACGATAATTCTATTAGCTGTACACCTTTTTAAAAGTCAACTCGTTACCCTTCTTGGACAGGTCATATTTAAACAGCGTTACTCAGAAATGAATTCAACGCCATAAACAGAGTATGGGTTTATATTTTTATCAACGCCGCCGTGCGAGGGGGCTTGAACAAGAGTGTAACGCAGCAGGCATACTAATTACCTAGGAGTACCCGGTGCTAATTTATATGATCCAGGTCGTAATGGTTCCAAATTTGTTCTAGAACAGTATATCGTCAGCACAACGTGGGCGCCCAGGTTTTCCAGAAGCTAATATCATCAGGACTTAATCGAAAAATTCCTAGTAAATATCACGCGGTAATATTATGCCATTGTAAATGTGCGAAACTTAAAGTAACACAGAACGTACATTTATGAAGAGATCTAATATTAGGGATTCGTATCCATACGATTTGACGAAATATATATTATCATGACTACTTGTACATATTTTTTTTTTATTTAATTCCTCCCTCACGTCAATGTTGGACTTAAGCTGTTTGTAATTGTCTCCGTGGGGTTTCTTCGTCTCCACTCTCCGGTACCTACTGCCGTACTTTTATTGCCCCAAAGATCTTCCGAAATGTTTTCATTTATAATACCAATCAATTTGTAGCATATCCATGAACAATCTACTAGTCGTAATCAGAATAGCTTATAATTATAATAACTTAACAAGACCATCATCATAATTGTTCCGAATCCGGACTTCGAGATTTTGAGATCCTAAAAATGGTATATTGAAAATGTAAACATATTTTTTTAACCTTTAAGGCCTATTTTATTATATTCGGTTTGAGATTTTTGAGATATCGGCTTTGTACGATCACGTGCATCATTTATTTTTGCTAATATTCATTATCATATCTTCTTCTTCCTCTAGTTCGACTTTTAGGCTTTGAGACCATACCGCTAAACACAAATTATGCCACCTCTCCTTGTCCTCTGCAGCTTCCTTTCGTCGGATTTTTGACTCCACTGCCATAATGACATTAACACAGTCTTCCTACTTTAACCTAGGCCTTCCCAAAGGTATTTTTCGGTGTTCGTCAATCTCCTGTTTAATTATAGATCTTAGTATACGCCAGGCATAGCCCGCCCACGTCAGTCTTCTTTTAGCGATCTCTTCAAATATAATGTCGAAACTGATTTGTAGTTCATCACTGTGCGATCTTCTCCATTCATTGGTTGGAACATTGGAAGCATTGGTTGGTAGGTCAAATATTTTTTTGAGAACTTTAGTACTCTAGAATACCGCTAGCTAGTTTAGACCAATTGGTCGTAATAATGTCATGCGCATTCTTGACGATATATCTGTTTTCATATAATTCTCCTGGGATTTAATCGATCCCAAATATTTAAATTGTGGATGAATCTTTTGAACGTATGTCCCTCCATCTCAACGTGTTGTCCTATTCCTAATTTCTATTATTTCAGCTATCAATTAGGTATTCCGACATTATTCATTGTACAATTTGTAAATGAAGGCGTCACTTTAGAACCCTAGGTTATATTCCACGAACTTTTGCAGCTCCGGTGTACACTGGTATATAATGGGCGCCTATAAAACACAAATAATATTTAGACGTGTAGGACATAAAAGAAAACCGAATAATTCGCATGTGCGATTGTACGTGCTATACCGTGCTGACGAATATTCCCACGGGCGTTCCGATAATGATAGGATGTAGGTCGAATCGCTGCGAGTACTACGGAAGTCGTCATGGTGACAAGCTAACGACCTCTCGGTTAGGACAAGACGGGCAGAGGAATAAAATAGAAAACGAAAATATCAGCCGTTCTGACGGATTAAAACCGACCTCGTAGTTCAATATAACGAATAATGGTGGTACATTAGAAAATAACGGCCGTAGAGTACTAATAATATAAATACACTGACTGACATGTTATACTTCAGTATAACATGTCCTTCAGGACTTTAAGCCAATATTATCACGCAAAAAAAGTTTTCACTGTCGAGCGGGCTGTACTTTATACGTTCGAGTTACAAGTTTTATCTTAAATCATTATGATTTTTTTTTTCTTCGAAAAAATGTCATTGTTGACGTCTCATCGCCGCGATATTTTCCGGTGACGGATTTCGATTTGAATTTATTTCCTTAATTTTTTGTTTTCCCCCTTTTTGCCAGACACAGTCCCAGCAACATGAGCGGAGTGTCGCCTTTCGACGGTTCTTGCTGCGGCGGCAACAGCAGCTACAACGACCTGAGCTCCGGCGAATCCAGCGTTGTCGACGACATACCCAAATACAGAGTGGTGTTGCTGGGCGAATCCGGCGTGGGCAAGACCGCTCTGGTGTCGCAGTTCATGACATCTGAATACATGAACACCTACGACGCGTCTCTCGGTAAGTACACTACACTAGAAACCCACGTTAAACGCGTCATTTCCAAGTGTATACGAGAGGTAGAGTAGAGAGAGGTAGAGAGGAGAGAGAGAGAGAGAGAAATGATTAAAATCGGAAGCCAAAAATGTAGCTAGTCTCACTATGGTTTTATCAAATTCACACCCTAATGGTTTTGAAAAGCCTACATCTTTTTTTTTTGCTAAATTTCCTAACGAGTAACGATTATAATTGGGCTGATCAAGTCAGTTTTTAAATCCGCCGATGAATCAGTAAAGTTGAGAGTCTGGAAAAATCGAGTTAAATACCAGGTACGTGACTGATACTAATTTTATTTTCGACGAGAGCAAACATATTATACAATCCAAACACACTTAATATACATTAGTCCGTATACCAATGTTCAAGGTTGCACTCTCTCTCGAAATTGCCTTTGTAATCGAGTTTTGTGAAAAGCTTTTGAGTGCAGAAACGTAGAATTGAATGAGAAAATAAATGCTAAAACGCACATTTCATAAAATAGATTTTTTTTTAATAGAAAACGATACCCAAGACATTTTTAGGGTATGCCCTTGAGCTTAATATAATAATAATTTCATGTAAAAGTTAAAGTTACGTACAGTATCACGTGAGTTATAAGCTCGAACGTTTTATTTTTTAAATAAAATTTGCTTTGGTCAAAAGATAATATGTAAAATTAATTAATTAATCATATTTCACAATCATCAGTAGCTTACACAATGATTCTGTCTTTACCGACTGCGATATAGTTCGTCTGGATTCGTTTTAAGTTTTATAATTAGTAATTTTTCACTGTATACACGTTTATTTACAATGAACGTTTGTGGTTTTCCTTATAGAAAATTGCACGTTCATCAGTCTCAGTAGTATAACATGAATAATTGTCAGTCTTGGAAACTCATCCCTGTTGTCTACAATGTTGCGACAAATCATCAATCAGCTAGTGCTCCCCGTAGAGTCCTAAAAAAGCTCAAACCAAATACTCGTTAATGGAGATAACGATTTGTAATTAACCTTTGGAGCACAGTTTGAATGACATTATTTCATCCGCGAATCCTCTTACTGCGGGTTCAATACACTTCAGTGTTTACTGGATTTTACAAGCGCGTATACCCGTCGGCTGTTACCTGGGAAAATCGACTCGATGCGTATTGTACTGGCAAATAGACACTTGAGTGCATCACGAGTCCGAAAACGGTTTAGCCGTCAAGTAAAGTGACCGAGTATACCTTAGCTTTTCTGTAAACACAACACACGTGTGCCACGGATGGTTACTTGTTGGCTTGTTGGCACAACCGAGAACGTCACTCACTAAAGTAATAATTTCCTAGCTGAAACGATTTCGGTTGCGTTTTATTTACTCGACTGTTTGTAAATAATGTAAAACCCCGTCGAGTGTCAGATGTCAAATGGGCAAGCCGGCGCGTGCCAATCTCTCATTAGGTCATTCGAGTCGTCTGAACTTACTTGTTCCTTTCTAACGAATAAGGTCAAACGAGTCGTTCGTTGGCTCGTCTTGTCACTTAACGAATTGTTCCCTTCAGTTTACACTGAACTGAATTCCGTCTTGTTTGTATAATTAAACAACGCGAATCGACGTGCATAAACAACATCATTTGCTAAATGCATTTCACGATGCCTCAAGTCAGTTGTTTTGGTTTTCCATCGATAACAAAAAAAAAATGACTATAGTCTTTTGAGTTTACTTTTGTATGTAATTTATGCACAATAAATCAAACATAAATCTAATCTTCAGACTTGTAGTTCTAAGAGAAAACGTTTTTCTTGCCGTGCCCCTTCAAGTAGAAGCGGTTAAAAGTTTTTTTTTTTTGGGGGGGGGAGACTATTTAGTATATTAGCTATATTGTTATATTATCTAATCAGAGTTGGCATAATTTTAAACACAACTGAAACAAATGGAATAACGTGCTAAATGCAGAAAAAAAAAGCATATTTTATTCGAATATAAATCACAAATCAAATTGTTCTAACATATTTTTATTCAAATATAACATTATTAGTGGATTATGTATTCAATAAATTATGGTTTTAATCGAAAAAAGCCCAACTCTGTATCTCACAAATCCTTTGAAGATAATTGGAAACTATTCGACTACTTTTGATCTAACACTGGCTACATGAAATGTAAATATCGGTCCAATAATTAAAACATTGGTCTAGAAACGATATTTTTTATTTAAATATAAAACATATGCGTCGTTGTAAAATCCTGGGACTTTTGATAATGCAATACCTCTTCAGCTATGCGACGAAGATACAATATTTAATACTCTCCAGTTAATTATGTGCTTGCAACAGGTGTGGACTAACACGAAGACTATTACAGGCACTTATCGGAAGGGATGTAAAAAATTATAAATCTTCACAAAAGAAAACAATGTGCACAGTACAACTCCGAATATTTATAAATTGAGAGTAGAGTTTTTTTTTTTTTAAATATAAATAAAATAATTGTTTTACCACTATAGCTTAACGCGTAATCCAGAGGGAAATAAAACTATAATGGGTCCTCCGTTTTGGCAATTAATTAATATCCCAGTAAATTGATTATCTCGGCTTGGCATGCGACGCAGCCGGTCTAATGTATAATGCATATATGGTATACTCAGCGAGTTTCTACGAGGATTATAATTATTAAGGTTGACCAGCGCACAAAACGCCGGCGACCGTCACAGATAAAGTGTCAAAGAAGAGAAGGCGATGGTGGATTTGTATAGAAGCATCATTCAAGATTTACAGTGACACCGACACTGTTTTAATCACGATTTTGACGGTCTTAACGTGTCCAAGTTAGGTTGTGTTTTTTATCTACAGACTTTGCGACCTACGAGATAAAAAGTGACAGATTTCGGTATTTTTTTCCCCGTCCCCCGAACAACAAGTTCACCGTACAATAAAAAAAAACGGCCACAGTCATTCGGTGTTAGCGTTTAGTTTTCTTGTCACGGTAAAAAAAACACCGTCAACGACTAAATTTAAACAAAATTCCAAACCAGGCACAGTCTAAGCCGAGTACAGTCCAAGCCAAAGTGTAGGTTAGGTTACAAAACACATAGAGGGTGGGAACTTCATTTAATTTAGATTTGGGGCTATTGCCACTTTCGTTATGCTCGTTTTTTTTATTCTATCTAATTTGTCCATTTTCTTTTCTTTATCCGTTGCATATACTTCCACGTCTCATTGCTGTCTTTGCGCAACAATTTTAGAAAAAAATAAGAACTGACGTTTTCGGACGAGCAAAATTTGAGTCCTCGACATTATTTTTTTATCGAAATACGTTTGCTGCATCTCTGGACTTGGTAAACGTCTCCAAATGATTCACAATGAAAAAAATCATTTTGATAATATATATATTTATCAATTATAATATATAACGCGTATTTCCATTAAAAAGAAATTCCGCTTTAGACTTGATGTCTTCTTGATTAAATAATGTTATTAGTTTTTGTAGAGAGAATATTAAAAAAAAAACACACACACACACACACTAGCATTACTATATAATGTAAACGTCTGACGTTCAGTGAAGAGCAAAGAAATGAGAACTTATTGAGAAAACTTCTCTAAAAAAAAAAAAATTAATATGAAATGTCATACCGTTAGCACTCTGATATGATATTACCTTTTTTTATATTTTTACTTCAGTCCTGAATAATGCGGTTGAAAATTTTTTATTTATATGATAATAATTTTTTTTCTATAGTCCTGTCAATGTTATGACGAATTCTGTTTTTCTATAAAACTCGGGTCTAAATTCTACTGTCAAAAACACATTTTATGTTTTCTGATAACACAATTCCACGTGTATTATATCATTAAATTTAGAATTGAAATCTGTTTTTAAATACACGAGAATATGGAGCAACCTTCGACAAATGAAATTACACGATTAAACACATAATGTTAAATTGTCGATAAAACGATTTATATATTTTATAGACAATGGGTTTTTCTAATGTACGGTTTCGCATCGAAGCGGCTTTTTCAGTTTTAATAATTTCTGAAAAAAACTAAAAATATTATTTCTACCACTCGATTTTTACATAAGGACGGAAAGGTTGAGGGGTTCAACATAACTATATTTTCATTCAACAGTTTACACCTTTTTTTTTTTTATAATTTATAATCCACAAAAGCTATTGTATACTTTATAAGGTTCTATATTTGTTTAGTTCTTTAAGAAAGACACGACACATTATATGACCAATAAAAACCAATGCTCAATTTAGAAGGAAAAATTTGTTGCTTGCCAACCATTTCATTACAAAATCATACCTTTTTTTAATTTAAAGTCTAAAGTAATTCAACTTTAAAATGTTTCACTTTCAAACGTTGTCGTTTTTCATTCTATGGGATATGTATTATCAATATGGTTTTTTTTTTTTTAAATATCAGATTATTAATTTAAATATTGAATGAACTGCGGAAATATACGGTATAAATATTAAAATATAAATTTTGTTTATTTTTAAATTATTGATGGTGTGTTGGAAAATCACAATTCACTTGCACGAAATTCATTTCATAAAACCACAGGAAACGTTTTCCACGGGTCACAGTGGGGTATTTCTGGCGGATAACTGTTGTTGTACATTGGACAAGTGGTAAATTGTATTATTTGGTTTTAATCATTTTGTTTTGTGTATTATGAAAATAACGATAAAAAATTGTATTATTATTATTATTCTCTAGCATGGCTTATTCGGCGTTATATACTACATATATTATACTCTCACACTATTGTTAGTATTGCATATAACATAAATACCCAAGTTACGGTTATAGAGAGCGTTGTACAACATTCGAGATTCTTAACATTTATTTTGTTTTCTTGTTTACTAAAGCTTAACAGCTTTTTTCCTTATATTTAATTCAATTTTTCATCATCCCCAAAGACTAGGGTTTCTTTGTAATTTCGTTCAAGGCTTTAGTACAACAGGCACAACAGGTGACGTATAACGGCCAAAAAGAAAATATTCCTTACACTTAAAACGAAACTAACTATCAATTATTATTATTGAATAATTGGTAAATAAGTGACTTGACGAGTTGCTATCTAGAAATGTCAAGACTTGTACGATGACTTTTGGAAGTGGTTTTTTTTCTAAGATACTTTTTGGTTTACACTTAACAATGCGTAGCTGAGAAGGTATTGTTTTTACTACGGTGATGTGTTTTTTTTTTTTTTGTGTGTCTGGACCTAAACCCTGAACCGATTTCTTAATGTAGAAAGTCTACAGATCAGAAATCATATCTGAGAGGTACAAAAATGTTTAAAGTTCACCCCTTCCCCTTCAAAATCAAGAAAAAACCTAAACACCAGCCCCCGCTTATCTGTATATTCTAAAATCAATTCGAATAATACATTTTAAGCACATTATTGACAATAATTTTGTAAATATCTATAGATAGACTGGAAGGGCGTGGTAGTGTGTTTCTTTTAGAAAATCATTAGTAATGAAGACTGTAATAGTCTGGAAGAAAAGTACTCTTGATACAACTCTAAGATACATGCAGAATAATTTCAGCTGTAAATCGAGTTTTTCCAAAAACTTATCTACCAACAGAGCTCATATGCGGAAACCAAATTGCACTTTTGTTTTATGCTACATGTTCGTGTATATAATTATTAATATTGAGAATATCAAAACTTTTCTGATATGCGTGGACGTCCAAGACAGGGTATCGTCGGAGGAGTTTATTATTATGTGGTGTATGTTGTACCGATAAACAAAATATACGATGCGCTAACAACACTATTGGGAAGCGACGGTGGTCGCAACGGCCTATGATTGAATACCGCGGACAGTTATTTTTGTCCGCCATCGATACACTATGATTGATCGCCGTTCGGGGGATTGCCATGTGAAAGTTTGTATACCTATAGAACTGATGATAATACACTCGAAGGATGTACACTGTACATATTATATACCTGTCAATCAATGTAGTTTCGCGAGTACCTGCTGCTTTTACCGGGTAGGCTTGTTTCCTCTAGTCGACGACTTTTATTGGCTGCAAACGCAATCAAAAGGGTTGGGTTTTCTGACACATACATATTGCCGCCGTTAATAGTTTGCCCTTTACGGAGATCCACTGTAAACTCCAACAGCGGTCGTTCTTGTTTAGCTTTTGTGCTGCCCGACAATGACGTCACCGTGATGGCATAGTCAAATTGATTGCAATACAGTCCATACAAGACAGAAGGACGGATAGTCTGCGCGTTCGGTTACCGCTTGTGGCAAAAAAAAATTCAATTTTAAAACAAAACCCAGCGTGAGCTTCCGCAGTGCTCACAATGATTAACAGTGTTGGGAATTATCTAGATAAAAAATTGTAATTAACATCTTATCTAGATAAAAAATTGTAAATCATCTTATTATCTTATTTAGATAAACAAATCGGTTATCTGAGGTAATTAATCTAGATAGAAATTGTAACTATTTTTTAAGTTATTTATTCGTGGGTTTTACAAAAACAGGTTTCGGGATCCGACGAAACGCATAATGTAGTCCTAGCCTAAAAATATTAATATACCTAGGTCCTAATGAATAGTGATTAGCGATATAAGAATATATTATTAATACATTGGGGTTGGCTTGTTAGACAAGTCCAATATTCCATTGTAATCCAATGTATTTTAGTAGATAAGAGTTATATATGTATTATCGTATAATTTATTATTTATATTCGTAGTTCTCGACTACAGTGCTCAGTTTTGATTTAATGTTGATCATTTTTTTCCCAGTACTCTCGAAATAATTACTAGTGCTATATAAAACGTGTTTATAAGATTTTTTACGATAATAATTTCAAGATTAACATTGACCAAAATCCCAACAAAAAAAATGGTCGAAAGTGCAGGTGTTCATTTGAGCAGAATGGTTATAAATTATATTTTACAAATATATATACATGTCAGGCGAGTCCTGTATCAGTAACTACATATAGGGTAAAGAGTAAAGACTATAAAAGTAAAATAGTAAATAGTAATACAAGTCCAATAAACAATGAGCCGTTTCCAAAAAGTTATTTGTATTTTCAATCAAAATAAAATAACAAAACCTTGTAATAAACATTTTAAACATAATGTGGGCTCTCCGTAGTCCGTAGACCGTATGTGGCCAAAACGATAGTTAAGCCTCAAAAAAGAACAATATGATTATAAATAGTTTCAACCGATAATGAAATGTCCCGTCGTCGATTATCGAGTTTGATAAACTCGTATTTACTTTTTATACGTATTTATACTATTACTGTTGCCTACATAAAAGATGACATAAACAGAGTACATGAAAATAATTAATGACAAATGAACAGAGTAGCCGTAAATCACGAAATCTAATATAAGGAAAATTTGCTCTTTGACGTAACTGTCCATTTCTTAGTACCTACGTCATATTGGTTATTAAATTATTCTGTAATCTGTGAAAATACTTTGTTTCACTCATACATTTTCGTATAACATTTTATGAAGGTTAAAATTTAGTTTATCTATTTTTCATCTAGATAAAATTGTATTTATCTTTATCTTTTAGCTAAATAAATGTTAAATGAATAATTTTATATCTTATCTAGATGATATATTACTCAATTATCCGTTATCTTATCTAGATAACTTTATAGTTATCTTTTCCCAACACTGATGATTAAACATCTAACTATGGTTTTAATGGGAGTTCCACTTCGAAAAAAAATAAGTTGATCTCATCATGGCCGCTATGTCAAATTTACGTTAACGAAATCGATTCAATTTTATCACTCGAGTACATTATCTTAAACAACATTGTTTGGTCTTATACAAATAACAGATGATATGGCATACTACAGCTTGCGAAAGCAATTGATTCCCAGGGAGAGACCTGGGGCAGCGATGCCCATTGGTGTTAGTCGTTTGCAGATGATAGGGATAATTTTTGGAATAGCGGTGGAAGTCAAATTAGAGCAACGGAAATTGGTTGGTATAATAAAGTAAATTGAACAATTTTTTTTTTCTATTAGTGTGCGCGTACCTTAATATTTGATTGCTTTGGATTTGGTGTCTTGGGATTTTTCCGTTCTGATGTAGGTTAATGGTGTTCGATAAAACCAAGGTGTAAGTATAATAGAGAATTGTGTGCGCCAAAATGTGTTTCCTACGACTCCGACTAAACGAATAACTAATTATAAATTATCCCATCCACACATACACGTGCCTATTATTATAATATGCGATTCCGTTTCCCTTCTCTCTATCTATCTATGTATCAATAATATACTTATGGTAAATACGTTTTCAGATAACTAATGTCTGATCCGTTTACAGATGACGAATTCGGCGAAAAAACCGTTTCAATACTTTTGGACGGCGAAGAATCAGAAATGGTTTTCATCGATCATCCTAGCATCGAAATGTCGGTAAGTGGTCGACGCTTTTAACACATTTCAATATCAATTTTTTTTTTTACCTTCTAATCATCTGGTCGTTTTAAACAAACCCGAACAAACCGTAAGACGATGACGTTTACAAAGGACGTCTTACATGCATTTATTCAGTGGTTTAGTATAGGCAATTTTTGTAAAAATCGTTGCTGTTTTCTTATTAACTACATAATATTATAAAGAATATACTAACATATATATATATATTTATAACGTTAAAAACTATCGAATATATGTACTTATATTTTACGGTACCAAAGGACTTTACGTGGATATCAAATATAAGCGATAAGAAGATAACGGATAAGAGATTAGTGGCTCCTTAAATATAGCATGTTCTAAAGTATTGTAAAAATAAGGAATCCGTTTTTTCCAAAAAAAATTTTCAGTACATTGTGATCGAAACATAGCGGGAATGAAAGCGGGTTTAACTAAGTATTTTTGAAATTGATTTTATATATAATTGGTGCACATAGCAGCTGATGTACAACAATAAGTCTGATTTGCAGACCCTTCGTCAGAAAACTAAACCTAAAACAAGAGAAATAAATCAAATATTTAAAACTTATAAGAAAACACGATAAAAAAAAAAGGATCCCGATTACCTAGACTTGTCTTTTTACTTTTCGGTTCGATTAAAGTACATGTAGATCGGCTATCTGGTAGGGAAGAGTGCAAACAAAAAAATGTCTAAAAATTTAACTTTTATTATTAAATAAACATTGAAACATGATCAAACAAATAGTATAAAAAATTTAATTTACAACTCAGACTCTGATTAAACGTCTCTAATGTATGTTTACATTAACACTAACGACTCGAACACACCTCATAATAAATTAGGATTAAAATATAATATTTTTACAGTAAAAATATAAAAATACTTTTTTACTTAAACTTAATTTTGTACAACGTCATAATTAAAAAAAAAAAATTATAACTATTATAATAATAAATAATTGTAATCATAATTTATATTTACTAATTATTAACCAGCAGTAAGTTATTGTGCTTTAGTTGTAATGACATTTTTTTATACAAAAAAAAATATATATAATACGTTAAAAATAATAATTTAAAACAATACAAATGTTAAAAACAATGTTTTCTATACAAAACCGCTAAATTTTCTCAAATGTGGTCATCATACTGCGAATTAATTTTAAAGGTAATTGATTTTTTTTGGTACCTATTTTTAATATTTATTCTTCATTTGGGCAATTCTATCGCCTTTTTTTTTGTGCCTAAGACTTTGGAAACCTTGGGGTTAGCTTGTAACAAAACTTTTATAATGTTTATTGACTTTTTACAAATTACAAGATTAAAAAATACCTTTTTTTCATGGCCACCCGAATCGGCTTGCGTGATTGCTTTTACCGACATGGCATAAAGAGATAGGAAAAAAATTGTACATCGTTCTCGGTAAGACGTGGTTTAATAGTTTTTCTACGTGCAAATGCCGACCATAGTGCGCTTTCAAATGACAATTTATTTTTTATGAGTTCTGAGAAATACTATGTCGTTTTTACTCTAGTTTTTGTACAACTGAATAAGGGATGTACCAGGTGATGGTCTAACAGAGAAAATCATCGCTGGCATAGTGCACGTGTGTAAAACGTGTATTTCGTTGTATTTTACTGGGAAAAGATTTGAAAATAATAATGTCTATATTGTATTCACTTGACGTGTGTTAAAAAAAATGGTAAAATCCCGGTTTTTTTTTTTTTAAAGAAATCTTGTCCCAGTCAGGTTAGGTTTCCATTTGAATATTTTCAAAAGTTGTCAAAACGTTTTTGTTGTCATTTAAAAAAAATATTTTGGTCCGTTGTTAAACGTTTTAAAAACGATACTGAAATATAACCGAAGTGTATTCTAATAAATAAATTAATATTTAAAACCCGTAACCATAAAATAATACCTCATTCTGTCGTTAGCGCTGAAGATGACAACATTATTGCCGAAATACGTATACGCAGAGAGTGTATTATTTTATGGTTAAGGGTTTTAAATATTAATTTTTTATTATATATAACAAAAAGTTGCTCAAGTTTTTTCTACGTGTATCCTAATATATAAAGATACTTTAATATTTTCCAATAGCTGCATACGGGTTAAGTCGGGTTAGTTTTTGATTAAACGCCAAACATTTGTTGGATTTAAAAAAAAAAACCAATCACCTGATTGTTTTATCAACTCTAAAAAAAAATGTGCTCATCACACTTGTGCACTATTCCATTGATTATGAAGCGATTAAAACCAAACGGATTTAAGTGATTTTATATCCAAATTTATAAAAAATAAAAATAAAAATTAGATTACTAATGTGTTCTTACGGGCGATTTTTTATTATTTTTTTGTTATCTGTTTTTAAAGTAGAAGATAAATTGTAAAAGAAGTATGATGAAAAACTCGTTTTGGAAATAAAAAAATGGTCACTACTACATTTTTGGTTCCAATCACTTTAATATAAATTATCAATATATAAACGATTGCGACATTGTACACCCTGTATACACAACGCGGACGGTCGGGCCTGTCATACGACGAAACCCTCAACGGCGTGGGCCACTCGGTTGTCGGGCGGCGGATACCGGCAACAGTAGGACGTGCTAAGGCCCAGACAGGCCAGGCCTACGGACAGGGCCGATATGCCGCATACCACGCCGGCTCCAATGTCGTTAAGCGCAGGGTCCAACACTGTGCTTTGACACATCAGCCACAGCGCGCACGACTCGAGTACGCTGAACAGAGCCACCAGTATGTAGCCCGTGACGTAGTTCCGGTTGGGCAGCCATCGCCACTGTTGAGACCGAAAACCGGGGAAACCTAGGATCAGACATACGGCGGCGGCCAGTAGTCCGGCGTTAAGGTAGTACAGCCGGCCGCGACGTGACATCAGGTAGAAGCACAGCATGCAGCTGGCTGTGCCGGATACCACAAGCACCATGGCGGCCGTCCACAGGGTACACACGGGCAGGGTCTGCACAGGAGTCCTGGGTGGAGTGTGTGACCACGACGGTTTGTTTGGAGATTCGGCTGGCATCTTCTCTTCGACCTGTACAAACATAAGACTATATTAATACCTAATATAGAATTATAGAGGAATAGTAAGAACAACTGGATGCAAAGCTATATCGCTATCTAAACTCATAAGATTGCAAGTATACGCAGACAAGATTCCTGAAATTTGGCGTACTCGCGTTTTAAAAGATAATAAATAAATTTAGGTAAATAAATATGGATTACCCCGAGAAAAGTATTACCTGAAAAACAGAAGACGGCGCTTTGTAGATGGGCTGTATGATGGCCGTGTTCCTCGGCCGGTTGTACTGAACGCCGGTGGCCGGCACGCAAGTGTCCAGATTGTACTCGGACAGAAACTCGGGCGCGCGCCTGTGTTTGTTGTAGAGCGCGACGGAAGACCGGGACCGGCGGACAGTGGGCTGCCCGGGCTTGACGGCGGCTGCCTGAGCCATCATTGGCGCGAACACGTCGGCACGGACAGGCGTGCCCGGCAAGCTGGTGCCGTACACGTCCAGCCGGCGTCTCGCCTTGCACGGCGTCACGGACGCCGTTTTTCTGCCGCCGGCGTCCGCCGTTGGCGTGGACGACGGTGGCGGCCGAGGCGGAGTCGTACGCCTTGTTGTTCGGCCCGCTAACCCGTGCATGTGGGTGCGCAACAACAAGGATCGTTCCGCCGGATCTACCGCGTGCGCGTCAGACGGCCTTTGGATCCTTGTCGGCGATTCCCGGTAGTAAAAAGCCGAGTCGTCCAGGGATTCGAAATCCATGGACGGATCGATGTCCGGAATTTCTTCGTATCTGTGGTCCACCTCGTACATGCCGTTGTAGCCACCGTTGTAGTATCCGTGCGACATGGCGGACGATTTTCTGTAAGAACAAAAACGTAGATATACGACTAAGAAAAAAACAATTCATTTTTTTAAACGAATGTGTCTCTTATGACTGGAGTCTGTGTAAAATTGGGGTCATGACCTAACTTGAATTAGTGACAAGTGGTAGGACAGTAAGGAGCGCGGAGGAGAAGAGACGAGAAGAGAACAACCGATGAGTAAAAGGAAGTAAATAGAAAGTTGCCGGAGGAAGCGACGCACTATTATTATTTATTGAAATTTGTGACTTATTTATCTATTAGGTAGGCGTTGACACAGGATGTAGTAAAGCACGTCAGGCGTTTGTTCGTTTCGAACACGACACCGATTGCAGCTCCAACAAAGGTAGCACAGTGTCTCGCGGATTGTTCTCTTCGTCTTGACCATCAAACCGACACGTATGCGCCCTGTTGAGGGGCTATGATGTATCGCGCTGAGGATTCGATTTATCACGGTCGGTCGAACCGCATGAAAACACGGCTCGATCAAAGTCGGTCGTGTAATGGCGGACAAAGATAATAGGATCCACTGGTGCATATACCGCGTAGTGAATCCGATAATAATTCTCTCGAAGCGCAATTGACGCCGCTGTCACCGCAGCGATATGATGGTTTCGTTCGACTAATTGCATTATCTAATAGTGTGTTGTTGACCCACCGGGGTGCAGTTAAAAATGACGTTAACGTTTTCCGAATGATGGCGGTCGTCGAAACGGGAAAACAGTTTCAGTTATTGAAAACGGCGATTGGAATGACACCCCGGTCACTATCTTTATGACTTCATTAAAAAATACCCTCCTCCTCCGTAGTTTAACAGTTATTAGTTTGCCCGAATTTGAAGTTTGAAACGTTAAGGTTATCGGAGTTCAAAATTTAGGATAAGGGGGTGCACTACGGTTGAGTAACGCGCGCGCATAAAAATAACACTATACTCCACCCTGCATCCCGTCCTAAATTTTAAACCTTAAAACAAATTACAAGCGATTATTCGAAACTGGTTGTCGACCAGTCGACTTTTTCAGCAAGTTCGTTTATAAATTAAATAGTTAATAAAATATGTACGTTATCGTTTAAAAATCTTAAGCAGGTTTAACACAGTAAGGCTATATTTAAAAAAAAAATAAGTTTTAAATATTTATTGATTCATAGTTAACCAATTAACCTGTAAAGGGTTATTCATTTAACGTAAAACACTAATTTTCTCTGAAAATAATTACAATTATGTAGTTTTTCTATTTGGAGACGTTTCAATTAAAATGGCGTTTTACAGTGTTACACAATATTTAAATTTTCATCTTTTATAAGAAATTCTAGATTTTTATCAACTTTTCAAACTTCAATGGCAACGTATAATATATTTTATTGACATTTTAAATGAAGAATAATTTGCTGAAAATGTTGACTGGCCGATGACCAATTTTAAACAACTATTTTCCAATTGATTAAAGTGTAAAATTTAGTTTGTGTTATTAGTGTAGTAGCGTAGTAGTATTCTGCGCACATTACTTAACCGCAATCCACCTTCCGTCTAAATTTTGTATTTAAAATACTTTAAAATTAATTATTAAAAACTAGTTCTTGACCGGCCAAAATGTTGAACAAAGTATTCTTAATTCATAGCGTTAATTAAATGTAATATCCGTTGCCGATGAAGTTTGAAAAGTCGATAGTAATCGGAACTTGTACTATAATTATACAAATATTAAAAAAAAAAAAAATGCAATTATTTTAAGACATTTTGAGTGCCTACCATCAATGGATCATCCTGTATATATTCTCACAAAGGAATCCCCTTATTCGTCTCGTATGACTTTTTTTTTCATTTATGTTTTTCAATATCTGTAACGCGATACGAGCTTTGAACAGCAACCCGATAACATGATTATATCAATAATAATATATACACATTACTCGTATATGAATAAAATTCTTCAGGTTATTTTTTATGACAACACCAAGGAAGGTAGCATATCTTTTTTAAATTGTGCTATTTATTGAATGGCATACATACTCTGAACATTAACAATAAAAATTACGGCGTTACATATTATCTTTAAGAATGACGATATATCAGACTGCAAACGAGTTGTATCCTGTCTTTCGCTGAATAGTTTATACGAAAAAATGTTTAATCAAATACACTCTTTAGTCGTTTATGAATGAAACGCAACTAACATAATATATTGATTGAAAAATGATATACTGATTATCTCAGCTCAGCTCAGCTCGGTCTTTCCGATTCGGCCGATTTGTCTGCAGTATCTTCGTCGTTCTTAATTTACACCTGACCGTCGCTCTCTTGGTCTCCCCGGCGGTCATTTACCGACCGTCGAGGGCTGTTCTGACGGTTTGTTTTTGTCTTCCCCCTACCCATTTGTGTATATTTGTTGGTTAGGACAAGTGTCCTAACCGACTTGCAAACGGTGTAATTAATTGTTTCGAAGGGAAACGTGAGAAACAAATTAACATCGGCGGGCAGAACACACCGCGTATGCAATGAGCGTTTGCCGTTGTGTAATAATAATATTTTCAAACCACAAAGGCGTCGCATAACGCCGCAAAGGGTTCGCCGTTAATTTGCCGAAACCCTAATGCGGCCTTCTCACGTGTTGTTATACCTAATAACTACTAAGGTTTACACGAAAATACTATACTTATATAACCGTTGTTAATTATTAGTAATAATTGGTTACCGGGGCCGTCTACACCGCGTTCACTGTAAACCTGACGACGACGTTCACCGGCAAACCGCACAGACCGACCAGCATCGCCTTGTAAGTATTCGTCCGTTTACATAGCACCATAGCCGGCCAGAGACACATTGTACCGGCATTGGTAGACCTTTAAAGTTTAAACTCGAGTTTAAGTTTAAACTCGAGCTGTGACCTCCAATACGCGGAGTTAAACACAGGGCACAAAGGTTTACAACATCCTTTAAGCTTTACACGCAATTAGCTGCCGTAACGTTAAACCTAACCTAATCGCCAATTACTACAACGACCCCGATGGCCGTACGATAAATCAACAACCTACTCCCTGTGATAATAAAGCTAATAGAAATTTAAAAACTAACAACAAATCACGATGGCACCGAGTACTGCAATATAAAATTAAGGCTATACCTGATATATCAGGTTAATCCTGATAAATCTGCGCTGAAAATCGCATCCGTCAAATGTATACAACTAATTTAGGATATTAAATATCGTATGAAGAGTTAAAGTGTAAGAAATGTTTATTTTTAATATACTTATAACAAGGGCTCAAAATACGGTTTTTTTTCTAGATTACAGCAGTGACCAGAGTTGGGCACTTTTTAAGCGAATAACGAATAATTTATTCAAACAATTTTTTTATTCGACAAAATCTAAAATGATTTAGTTTTAAGGAGTTTTGTATAGGCAAAATTTAAGAAAAAAATGGTTTAAAAAAATGTCGACCATGTTAATTAGTTTTCCGGTTAATTTGTAAAAGCTCCGAGGTACTTTTTTTAATTTATACAATTTTTCCTATTAGTTAAAGACATTTTGACTTATTTTAGACCAAAAAGAAAGACAAAATTTCGACTACTTAGGATAGTCCAATTCAAATTACGTAAAGAGATTCGAGTTCTTTGGCTTCTTAATTATGTTATGTAGGAAGACGATTTTCATTTAAAAAATTTCAGTTTCTTGCAATCAAATAAACAAAATTTACAATATTTTCGATATTAAAACACAATTTGTTTACATAAAAAAATTAAATAGTCTGCTTCCAACATAAAGTAAAGTTGCCAAAGAACTCGTACGTGTATCTTTGCAGAATTTAAAACGGACCATCTTAAAAAGTCAACATTAAGTCACCTGTAAATGTTCCAAAACATTTTTAAAGACATTCTTAGAACGTGTACGTGCATTACTTTAAAAATTATTCTTTTAGGTTTTTTTTTTTGTTGTAGGTCATCAATTCCGAGCTTTGTCTATAACGCTGGTGTTCTATTTTACATAAAATCGCTTTGGACCCTTCAATGGAATCGATCATTTGGGTGTATCGCGGGTGCCTATAAAGGAGAATTATTTTTTTATTAAGCGAAAACGATGAATAACACATCCTATCGCTTTCCATTTTAATACTGCTGCCAACGTCCATCTCGTATTTTTATTAAAATAACACAATATAAATCAGAAACGTCCATGCAGGAATATATTATTTAAAATAAGTGTATCGGTGAAAGGTTTGTAATGTATATATACTGTGTACAGTCAAATGAAACAGATAATCATTTTTTATGCGAGTATGATGCGTAAATGATGATTTGTAATGGAAACAAAATTTAAAAATCCGGAATCGAAGAGGAAAATTACTTTTATGTAGATAATAATGATACAGCTATAATAAAAAATTGAATCAGTATTAATAATATAAACTCGAGTATTTTTTTTTTTCAATTTAACGTATTTGCCGTACAAAAATAAATGTATAAAGAGAAAATATTTTTTAAAACCCCATAATATTATATTATATTTATATATCAATATCATCATTTATCCAGTTTTGAATAATCACTTTTTGAGTTATTAACATATCAATTTACCATTATAATTGAAAAAAAGACATACATCTTTTTACAGTCATTCCCAGTCTACACGTTTAAATAGTAAAAAAAAAAAATGGTAATAACTTAAGAAATATTTATCAAAAAGTGGTTACAAACACGAACAATCACTGTTAAAAGTAATATATTTTCAAAGTAACTATAATATATATTTATATAGGTATTTTGATCGTTAAATATAATAAGGATTTTGTTTGTAACCCTCTTAACTAAACACGATTATTTTGCAACAAAAAAAAATTCCTGCAACATGAAATTTCAATAACCCTGTATATTATTATGTACATCAGCTATGTCTGGCAAGTCCGCGCTGTTAATTATGCCAAAAAGGGCAAAAAGGCGCTTTTGAAACTTCCGACAAATGTAAACCGAACCGTGTACGTTCTCAGAAGCTCTCATGGCTTT